CCCTCCGGGAATGGAGTGTGGGCTAGGCCCGTATCTCCCAGGCAGCGAAGTGTGGGCGGGGCCCGTATCTTCACGAGTGTGGGCGGGGCCCGTATCTCTTAATGGCATGTTATTTGTTGTATGTTGTATGGTATGGGATATTATGGGGGAGCTCACTAAGCTTTGTGCTTACGGTTTCAGTTTTGGTTTCAGGTACCTCCTCAGCTAGGGGAAAGGAGCCGGCACGGTAGCAGCAGGTCACACACACGCACTCTTCGGTTTCCGCACTTACGAGCTTTCTGGGATTGATACTCTGATATTCTGATTAGTTGAATGTTTGGGTTTTCGGACATGGTTCAGTTTATATTATGGATGATTGAATGATGTTTTAGTTATTAATATTTTCTAAAGTAACGTTTTTAAACAAAAATTTTTGGACATGAAAAATTGGGTTGTTACAATAAAATACTTGACAGATGGCTTATCTATGTTATTACAAGCAAGTGAAGTAGAGAAATAATAGTGTAACGCCCCGTTTATTTAAATAAATTAATAAATGTAAGTTTCGGACTAATTTGTGAAGAATTTTGATAGTTGGGGGTTGTTAAGTAAGTTATGGAGTTATTTTAAGAAGAATTTTAGAAGCAAGGGTATGTTTGGTAATTATTAGGATTAAATTGAAAGGATTTTAAATGATGAAGGTTTAAAGGGGAACTTATGGGACTTGTATTGTATAAATTATTAATGATAGGGATTGTTTAGTAAGTATTGTACTTAGTTTGAAAGAAGAAGGAGATGGAGGGGCTGGAAGTGTCATTATGGCAGAAGTTTGAGAGGAGTTGGAGTATATATGCCATCCACCGTCTAACCCTAAACCCTAGCCCAAGATTTTGCAGCCATCATCGTCGAAGGGTCCTCCGGCACCGCCACCCTTATTCCTCCCATCCCAACCACCGCCTCCCTATTGTTGAAGTCGTTGTGTTGCCTCCAGTGCCGACGATGAGAAACTTGACTGCCGCTGCTACTATCGTGGTTTGAGGAAGCAACTCCCCCTGTCGGTTGCGAGCATCTCAGTCGTTGTTGCGCCGCCTCTGTGAAGAAGACGAAGCCACCGTCAGACGCCGCGTCTGCCATTCCAACCGACGTCAGTGGCCCTGGTGCCGTCAGTGAAGACCGAGCGGATGCTCTCCTTCATAGTTGTTGCTGATGGTATTTGCTTCATCCCTTCTCCTCCGCCTTCTTCTGCCACCGCAATGTCGTCGTAGCAGATACTCCGGGCGGATGTTGCGGTTGGTGTTCTTCTTCAACTGCCTTGCGCCACCACGAGGGTGGCTGAGGTCGGGGTGCGCTTTGGTGTTTGGGTCATGACAATCATGCTCAGGTGTTCGTATGTTGATAGGCCGAGACTCAAGGAAACTCGCCACTACCGTGAGGTGGTGGCTGTCGATGCAAACCACCACCTACCACCGCTTCTACTTCCTCATGTCGTGTCATGTCACCACCAACCGCCATGGTGGTGGCTGTGAGATTGTGTGAGTGTGTGATTTCGTTTTAATGTATGTTATCTCGTGTGGTGTGTGTGCTAGTTTATGTATGGGGCGTTTTGTCTAGCCGGAAATTCAGGAATAGCCACTGCCACCACTGTGAGGTGGTGGCTACCGCCTTGTACCGTCGTCGGCCACCACTAGAGTGGTTGTGTGTGTATGTGTATGTTAGAGTAGTTAGTGTGTGTGTTTATTTGTGGATTAAAAACTTGTAATTGTAATTAGTAGAAGATGTAATGAAAAGAACCATAACCACCAGCATGAGGTGGTGTGGTGCCCCATAAGCAAAACCCTAATGGACCTAGCAAAACCCTAATGGGCTTAAAGATTAATTTTGGGCCTATTAGTCCATGTTTGGGTGGAAACCCTAATTAGGGTTTAGAAAACCCTAATTGTGAGTATTTGGGCCTTGGACTTATTGGGACCCACCTTCAGGCCATTAGGATTAGATTGTGTATTAAGCCTAAATTATTCCATATCATTTATCTAGTAAAGTAAAGGACTTAATGGATTAAGTCCTTAATGAGTTAAGTGAGAAACACTTAACCTTAATTGTCATTTTATGTGAACCCCTAATTTCACTTGGACTTAAGTTGGGCCTTCCTATTGGGCCTTGGTGATTCGGATAATAATGGACCATCCAAGAGCAAGCAAACGGATTAGAATAATTTAATGGACTTAGGGTAAGGCCCATATGAGGGATTGGGCCCAATTTTCTAATACTTTGGGCCTTGATGGTTATATGATATTGGGCCATTAGAATGTCAAATGTTGGACTGGACTAAATGGTTGGGCCTTTGATCAAGACCATGTAGAGACTTGGGCCCAATTGGGAAAATTAGGCCATATATGGGCCATAGTTGGTCCTTGGTTCATTATTAGACTTTTGGGCCTTTTTATTGGGCCTTGAGCTTGAATGGGGTAAAGCAGTCTTTTACCCTAAGCATGGACTTATGGGTATATGAGTTGGGACCCAATTATTAATTAGATGTTATTTTAATGATTGATAGATTCGGGAATTTATCATCCAACAGCTAGGGATTTGTCAGCAGGACTTCAGCAGTGAGAGGTGAGTTTTCCTCCAGTAGAAATAGGTCTAAGGCACCAATAACGGCCCGTTTAAGTAGTAGAGTATGTCGGGGTGAGCCCGATGTTAGGCTTAGCCCGATGCAGTTTATATGTTTCCGAACTTCGGTCTGATGTCGGGGCGGTCCCGAGAAGTAGTTATGTATGCTTGATATCTTTGTGATTCATGCATGTTTATGTGTTATGTGTTATGTGTTCCGGACTCCGTTCCGATACCGGGCAAGCCCGACAGTATATGTGAATGTGTTATATGTTATGTGTTCTGGGGTAAGCTTGATGTATGATAGTCATTATGCCATGTATTATGTATTTGGGGAAAACTCGATGTATGCTAGTTTATGTGTTATATGTTCCGGACTTCGGTCCGATGTCGGGGTAAGCCCGATGCAAATTATGTGATTATGTTAATTGTTCCGGATTTCGATCCGATGTCGGGGCAAGCCGATGCAAGTTACGTGATTATGTTATGTGTTTATGATATATGTTATAATGTGTATGTGTCAGTGTAAGCCCGATGCCGGGGCAAGCCCAATGTCGAGGTGAGCCCGATGCCCGATGCGGTCGGATGTCTGGGTGAGCCTGATACCGTACAGGAGTCCTAGAGTAATGTTATTTGTTATATGTGTTTTGTATGGTATGTGCTAGTTTGGGGGAGTTCACTAAGCTTCGTGCTTACAATTTCAGTTTTGGTTTCAGGTACTTTAGGTTTCAAAAGAGGAGCTCGAGAAGGTTGCAGTGCACACACCATTTGTTCAGCCTGGGATGTTTATACTCCGATATACATGACAATTGTTATAGTATTCTGAGATACATTGTTTATGATCTTTCTATGACGTATGATGATTATGGTTATTATTATAAAATTAAAACGAAATTTTTAGCTTGTATTTTGGGATGTTACAAATATATAACTACAAACAACAATTAGCAAAGGGCATAACAAAATTGCAATTTAGTACGAAGATGGTTTTTATATGTTATAGATCCTTTTATGTTTTAGATCAATGTATTTTATAGATATATTTTTTTTGTAAATTTTATGTGTGTAGCGATTATGGACTTGGAATGCAATTAGAAAAACACGAAGATGGGATTTAAGAATAAAAATGAAATAAAAATGAAGATGCAATTTAATCAATGAGAAGGTTTGTATTTTTGCATATTTTTATGGTTATTGTTTAACGTTTATCGTTTTATTCATTTTGGATTTGTAATTTACCTTGCAAATAAGATGTTGGGTAAAATACCTAATTATTTGCGTTAAAGAACTAATTGTATCTACAAATTAATTTCTGAAAAAACTATTCATATCAGTTGCTTGGCGCGGGTAGACAGCTAGTATATATATATATATATATATATATATATATATCTTAAAATCTTAAACAAACAAAAATAATAAAATTTTAGGCTTTCTTACTATAAAATAGATTAGTTACAGTTTTTTTAATCCTAAAAGTAATAAAAATTGATTATTAATAATAAAATATTATTATAAAAAAGCTTTGGTTGATTTGGATTGTTATTAAACTAAAAGATAAATTAGTTGGATTATATAGACAAATAAGAAAAATAATATTTTTTCTAATAAAATATCGTATTGAATTGTATTCCACCAATGAAAATAGGATTATAGATGCCATTAAAAAATGCAAAACACAGTTATACAGCCATTTCTTGATATACAACAGCACAATTCTGAAATTCGACAGCCATTTTTGTGAACAAAAGCTGGCAACTTGGTACTTGGGTTCTCTTTATAGCAGCCCAAAACCCAAATGATTTACTCGAGCCCATATTGTCTATTTTATGAGCCCAAATCATAACCTAGTGTTAAAATATCAGCCCACTTCTGAGTTTTTTTAGCAGCCAACTTGCTAAAAACACAAAGGTTGAAATAAGATTGTTGTCAATGATTTTATAACATAAACATTTCCGAAATTCTTGAAAAGGAAAAAAAATATATATATTGACGCATTAACCCAAACGTATTTTAATTTTTACCAATAAGTGTATTTTAACCCATATTTTTTTAGTCTCTTACCCAAAAGTATTCAACTCATCTATATCGCCACATGTACAAATTCATAGATTGCATTATCGTGAAACAGTTATAAAGCAACTAAATATTTGTATCCTATTGATGCGACGAAAAAGCAAACAGTGCCATTTGATCACGAGTTCCACAATACTTAAAATTTGTTTGTTAAGGACGTATACAATCACAAGCAAATTTAACTTTTCACCCGTTTAAAGCAAATTCACAGTTTCAACTTTTCTGGTATAAATACCCCAAGAAACTTAGATATTTCATCAACACAAACTTATCTAAACTGTATTTCAATTTTCACACTCCACTCCTGAAACAAGTCTATAATTTCATTGGCTATCATGTCGATCTCAATAGAAGCTCTAGCAATGGCGGGCACAGACCACATCGAATGGGGTATGAGTTTTGCAGAATGGGAACGCATGGACATTGGCCCACCTCCACCATATTTATATGATGAAGAAGATTGTGATTTTGAACAACATCATGAAGAAGATAAGGAAGTTGTAGAGCTGAAGCAGATAGATAGTTCTTATCATTCTCAAGACGTTTTGATTAAAGGAATAGAAATGGCTATAATGATTGTTGGAATCAATCCCAAACAGCTTGTGGTAGATGATGAAATTCAAATGCAGGAAAGGCCAAGATGCGTTTAGAGACACACTCTTAAATAATATATATACTTTTGTGAGTAGGCTGATTAGAATAGTCAGATATATATTTACTAGGTTTATAACTCGTGTACTATATTTACTAGAATAGTCAGATACATATTTACTAGGTTTATAACTCGTGTACTATACGATTCACAAGTTAAAATACTATAAATAATTTCAAACTATGTTTTCATTGTTGACTTTCGAACTCAGTTGATTGCTACAATTATTCATCTATTCTCTTACTCATTATGTCGACAATTGTAGACACCATAAATTTCATGTTATGAAACTTATTTTCAGAGAGGCAGCATTTGGAATACCCTAATGGCATATTAACAAACATGTATTGAACTAAAAACAATTACTATATCTTTGTATGATCGTCAATGTCACCCCCTTTAGCTCCATAATTCTTAAAAATTTAGAACAATTCTTGATTTGAAGATTTTGTTGAAAGTTTGAGAATTGTGGGCGTTATTGTGGTAAAGAATTTTTAATAGGACATGAATGAAATAATTTTGTATCATCATTTTCAGTGATACTCGTGTATTATTAAAAAATATATATTATACAGAAAGTTGTAAATGTGAAATATTAAAGATAATTTGAAATTTTAGTTGAAAATGAGAGGGGGTTTCAACTTCTATAAATCGGAGACATTTGAAATGAACCGGAAAATTAGATAGGTGGGAACATAAAAAGATGAGAGTGTTCCTATAGTTCGTTGTTTTGTGTTAAAAATAGAAGTATTATATTTTGTTGTTTGTAGATGATTTTTTCAACATATAATTTAGAGTGTATAGATGATTTTTTACTGTAATTTTGTTGACATGCGGTTTTTTTCAACGTATAATTTAGAGTTTATAGATGATTTTTTACTATAATTTTGTTGTTTTTGGTGTTATATTCGACGAGTCTTAATCCTTCAAAGATGAGATATCAAAGCTGAAATATTTTAGCTTTTCAGCAAGAAATTTAAATTTTTGTATTCTGTGAAATTCTTTAAACAAGCATATCTTATTCATTTTAAATCGGATTGGCATGTGGTTTTTTCCAACGTGTAATTTAGAGTTCATAGATTATTTTAGACTATAATTTTATTGTTTTTGGTATTATATTCGATGAGTTATAGTCCTTCAAATATGATATATCAAAGTTGAAATATTTAAGCTTTTTAGCAAGAAAATTTAAACTTTTGTATTATATGAAATTTTTTAAATAAGCATATCTCATTCGTTTTAAGTCGGATAGACATGTGGTTTTTTCCATTGTGTAATTTAGAGTTTGTAGATGATTTTAAACTATACTTTTCTTGTTTGTGGTGTTATATTAGATGAGTTACAATTCTTCAAAGATGAGATATCAAAGATGAAATATTTCAACTTTTCAGCAAGAAATTTAAACTTTTGTATTCTGTTAAATTCGATAAACAAGCATATCTATTCGTTTTAAGTCAAATTGACATGTTGTTTCTCCCAACATGTAATTTAGAGTGTGTAGATGATTTTAGACTTTATTTTTGTTGTTTTTGATGTTATATTCAATGAGTTACAATCAATCAAAGTTAGGATATCAAAACTGAAATATTTCAACTTTTCAACAATTATTTTAAACTGTAATTCTAAATTTTATGTATCTTTTGACAGATAAATCATATGAAATGGATCTTGATAGAGTACCGGAAAATTCTGACTTCGAATTTGTGATGGATATGGTGAACTTCTTTGAAAAATTCAAGACAAAAACAAAGCTTGTTTCGGCTACATCAAAACCTTTGGTAAATCTTTTTATCCGGGAAGTCTTATATGTGGACATACATCTAAGAAAGTGGTCAATCAAACCAATGTTTCTCGAAATGGTAAAGGACATGAAGACGAAATACGACAAGTATTGTGGTGCCTACAACAAGATGAACGATTTTATGTACTTTGCAGTTTTACTTGATCGTACCACCAAATCACCTTTTTGTTACATGCATTTAAAACAATGATCGGTACATGGAACCTGTTGGATTAGTGTCTAAATCCATAACTATTTTGGTATGTACTTGACCCGATGGTGCATGGTCCTTTTGGGTTGCCTTTACCAAAGCAACTTGATTGGAGAAATAAATAAAGAAAGAGAGATTATTATGATTTATTAATATGTTATAAGAATAATATATTAAAGGAGAAATCATATTTGTTTAATTAATATTGGTCAATAATTAATTAGGAATTAATTTTGTGATCAAAGTGTAATTAATTAAACTAGAGGGGTTGATTTGTAATTATGTGATAGTTACAAAATAAGGTAAGGATTATCTTGTTATTAGGTTGGACGAATTTAAGGTGATAAGGCCTTAGAATTCGACTATGATAAGGATTCAAGGATTATCTTATGGGTTGCTTTGTAGATAAGCAACTAGATAAGGATAATAACTGAAACCCTATCTCTACACCTATATAAAGACCCTAAGGCTCATGAATTCGTGTATCCCTTCCCAAGAAGTCCTAAGGACAAATTCTAACCTCTCTCCTCTCTCTTTATACCTTCTCCATTTGCTCTTGGTGTTTGTAAGCCATTAGAGGAGTGACACTTGTGACTCTAAGCCTTCCAAAGTCAATTCAAGGAGGAATTGGGATTGTTATTGCTACATAACAATCAAGGTAACATCTTAAACCTAATTACATATTAATATGATTACTTGAATGCTAGAATTACGGTTTATAGTCTTGGATTCAAAGCATGTACAATAGAGAAACCTAGATCCAAGCATTAGGGTTTGTATGAGCACATAAGATGTCTTATGACGAAAACCCATCAGTGGTATCAGAGCCTAGGATGGTTTCAATTGTATTGATGCATTGTATATCTAAAAAATTCTATTTTTTGGTGTTCTAGAGGCTGGACTCGCCGAGTCCATAGCTGAACTCGCCGAGTCCAAGGTGACTCGACGAGTCCAGGCTTGACTCGACGAGTCAACTCGTCAGATAATGCTTATCTCGGGATTTCTTGCTGTTTTTGCATATGGATAGTTACCTTATCATGTTAGATCAATATTAATCCGATTATATGATATATTTGACTATATTTTTTATCTAAATGAAGATATTTATCAATTAATAAGATAATTGTTTCCTTATAAGATAATTGATTAATTATTTTGAGTAAATTGATAAATTGTTTTGCAAGAAATCATTAAATAAATCAAATATGGATAATTATGTGATTAAATATTAATTTAAAATTATTTGTTATTTGATCCTTGTTGTTATGAAAAGTTTCATATTTTCCCCTTTAGGTTTTATAGTTTAAATTTGAACCCAAAAGTTTTGAAGTTTTGAAATTTAAATAGTTAAAACCTTAATGTTTTGAAAAAGGTTTCAAAACTTGCCCTCAAGTTTTGGAATTTAAAAGTTGATTAAAAGTTTAATTAGGAATGTTAAATTCTAAAACCCTAGTAATGTTTTGAAAAGTTCAATTTACACCCTTATGGTTTTATTAATTAATTAAGGTGTATAATTAAAAGAAGTTTAATAAATCCATAAAAGTTTAGGTTTGCAATTTAATTGAATTAAAAGTATAATTGTTAAATTTGACCACCTAGTATTTTAAAGGTGTGAAATACACCCTATACTATATATATATATATATATATATATATATATATATATATATATATATATATAACATTAAAAGTCTAACATTATATATATGTATGAGTAAAAGTCAGTCTTACTATTAGTAAGCCTCATTCACGAAGCTGGTCTATAAGGGGTGTTTAAGGAAATTGCCTATAAAATGGCGATGGAATGGGTATCCACTCTTACCCACCGTACTCTTGACTAGTGAAGGGTCGTTAGCCGAACGGGTAGGATAGGACAAAACCTTCCATTATAAGTATAATGAATTACTAAACTAACTAAATGTTTTTCTAATTCCCAATCTTAGTTACTTAGGCAAAAGTGAATTGATGTAATTCCATGAAATTACACTTTGTGCCCTTGCAAAGACGTTAGTGGAGCGTGTATGGCTTACCGGTACACTAAATGGTTCTAAGAAAAGGTAGTAAAGGGTGACTCAATGTTTTTCATAGTTCGGTGGAGCGTGTGTGGTTTACCGGCACATCGAATAGGTGATTGTAACATGTGAGGGCACCATGTAAGTTTGCATGGTTATTCACACCCGCTTTGTGATCCTCGGCATCCCAGTCACAAAAAAGAAGGGCATATCGAGATTTAAACATGCCATTGAAATGTTCAATGAATCTCAAAGGATCTAGGAGTTTTCATAGATTTAAAACTTAAATTTCTTTTTCGTTTTTCATGGTGGAAATTAGTGAATCCTCATTCACTTACCTTCAAATATTCTGCAACTAGATTACGGCATCCCTCTTCTAGGTTGTAGCGTATTGTGTTGGGTCCTAGCCTTAGTATCTCATTTGGGTGATTTACTAAGGACTCAATCGATCAACTAACTTGAATTTCGTTTTCTCCCGTTTTGTAGATGTCAAAGTTCGACAACTATGGTCTTCCCAAATCCCGTGGAACAAGCATTCCACATGAAGATGATATTCCACGATTCGATCGAGGAACAAGAAATCATGCTTCACTTCCTCCTCCTCCTCCAATTATTCTCCCTAACCCACAAGATTGTAAAATTGAAAGGTTCAATATCACTCAAGCCCTTTTGGCAAGTAAACATAAAGAAGGCAAGTCGGTGTGTGCACACATCTTAGGGATGAAGTCACACATTGATAGGTTAAGAATGATGGGATCCGTTGTCGGTGAAGCGATGGTTGTTGATTGGGTTCTTCAGTCACTTCCTGACTCGTATAGTGAGTTCGTAAGAGAGTACTATATGATGAACCACGACGTGACCCTTATTGATATCACCTATATGCTTATTGTTGCTGAATCAGCAATGGTTTGGCGCAATAGAAAAGCAAAGTTGATTGGTGAATCTGCCTTCAAGACCTCTATGGATATAGACAATGGCAATGAAAGACATGCAAT